TTTTTTTTTTTTTTCTGCTGTGCAATCTTATGCTTTCGGTTCAAGCTTGTTAGTTTCTGTTTGCTGTTCTTCCCTTTTTTTCTACATTGATTATTAGGGAGCCATGAAACTGAAGCTATCAACAAAATTGTCCTTCCAGGTGTTCTAGACAATGGGAATGATGGAGAGTGGTTTGAGGCGTTAGATGGTGATTGGTTTACGGAGGAAGTAGAAATTCTGTAGAATTATGTATGTATGTTGGTACTTCATAGAAGAGATCATCACCCTCTTTGAATCTTGAAGAATGCAATATATAAAGTTGTCAATTGGGTTGTTACTCATGTTTTTGGAATAAAGAAAAACACTCAAATTAGTTTGTGTATATGTAGAAATTCAATCATTTTGTAAATCAATATAATTGTGATAATGAATTTATATGATTTGATGAATTTTTGTAATTAAGAGAATTGTTTTGACAAAAGTTTACACGAGCCTAATTGTGAGAATTGCTTTTGTATTAAATGATATTGTTATAACTAAATAGATTCATGTTGTGTTGCAAACATAAGGGTAAAATGGTCATTTTGATCATTCAGCAAATTCATACATAACCAAACAACATGGATTCAGTCAGATGTAGATTCAGTCAGAATTTCTAACCCAATCAGCTTCTAACCCAGTCAGCTCTAACCCAGTCGGCAAGTATCAAACGACCCCATCCGAGCACCTATCAACCAACAGACTGATGATTTTGTGCTTTGCCTATAATATGTATGACAAATATCATTTATCAGACAGTATTTTTTTATTTTATTATCAAAAAAGAAAATAATGATACTTGCCAATAAATTATAAAAATAGTCGACACATATTGCCTATAGCACTGCAAGCTTTGGCACGAACATTTGGATCTTGGTGTGTTAGAAAGTCTTTTAAGAGATCCAATATATTTGCTCCATCTATGTGCTCATAAAAAACCTGTAGTCCATTCATCATATGTTTTGGAATTGAATGTATATAACATACTAAAATTATATTATTAAAATAATACCTTATCCATACGAGCCAACTCTGAAATGATCATGAGAATATCTAGAATAACTTCCCGTGGTGATGAAGAGTCAAGCAGCCTTCTCATTTTGTTTGGATCCAAGAGACCTCTTTCAAGGACTTGAACAACAAGTGATCTATGAAGACTCATTTTGGCTAGAAATGCAACTGCTCTTGCAGTGCCTTTTAACTCCATGTGTTCCAAACATTGAATTATTTGACCTGGAATTCCTACCTGTAATGTAAATTTATAAACAATCATCACATGCATAATTCATTTGTTAATAAAATAGATTTATTTTTGTAAATCAATGTCCCATAAACTGGCCCCACAGCCAACATGGAGAAGGTAAATCACAGTGTCACCAAAGCAATAATAATGATGATGATGATTAGACCATTTCCAATAATACCCTTATACTTATTAGTTTCCATAAATTTTACTCATGTTTTTTTATCACAATAACTTTTTACAAGTTTTGGGTTGCAAATTGCTATCATCGATGAAAAAATTCAATTACATTGTTATTATGGGTCAAAAACATAAGTGCATTGCTATTATATGTAAAAACAATAATGTATATTGTCTGTATTGGTACTATATTTGATTTCAAAGTAATTATCATGTTATTAAAACTAATATTAAATTTAATATCCATCATAAATCAGTATGTTCTTGTGGTCTAAATTAATAAAGAAAAAAATTAAACAACTTCAAAATACGAAAATTAAATTTAATGTGTATAATAACTTTATGTTACAAATAACAAAATATTACAGTTAAAAAAACGTTATATATAAGAGTAAATAACAGTTTTGGTCCCTGAATTATGGTGATTTTTGCAATTTGTGTCCCAAAAAGCTTTCTGTTGCATTTTGGTCTTTATTTAAGGTTTTTGTAGCATTTTTGGTCCCTAGCCTAAGAAAATTACTAAACTTTTCATAGCAAAATTGCAGAAATCAGCTATACACAGGGACCAAAAACAGTCTTTTTACTTGGAATTTATACCGAAGCAGCAGCAGCAGATACAGCTGAAGAAGAATTCGGCACATTTTGTATAGCTACAAATGGAAACGCCAAAAGATCAATTACCGCGTTCACGGTATCCCTGATTCCATTCCGCCCTCCACCAGGTCCACTCCAACACCTTAGTACCCTTCAGATGAACAACCGATATCAAATCAGACACAACTTTCACATGCTCTTTTCTAAGCAACACCTGTCGAAACGTGGAATTGCCACCTGGCAGACACTGGCATAATGAGGATACCGTCCAATCGTCCATACAATCCCAACTGGAGATAACCCGATTTGATAATTGATCATTTCCTAATAAATCAACAAGAGTTTGGGGGATTCCACTCGCGCATAGCTGTTGAATCGCTAAAGGCCCACCCCAACGTAGTCTGGATTCCAACAGACCGACACAACCATCTCTGATTCCATTCCAATACGAGAGCTTCCCTCTCATTCCATTCCCATCTGGTGTTGAAATCCTGAGGTAATCACAAAGAGTTGCACTCAGTGGAATTAAAGGCACAGCGATTTCAGAAATTGATGTTTCAACAGAAGGAGAAATTTCGAGGGACAAAATGGATGCGAGTGCCAGCATGGCGGACATGGAATGAGACTGAAATGAATTTTGAACTCGATCACATAAAGAGAAATGGCGTGCGAGGTCGGAGAGGCGAGAACGTTGTTTTTTTGGTGATGATGTCAACATGAATAGAGCTGAATTTCCTCCGGAAGATTTTAAGGATTGTGCGACTGCGGAAAGTACGAGGCATGAATGGCAGATTAAGGTATGTGGATTTGGTAATTTGTTTTTCAGATTATTTTGGTCTCCTGTTTGTTGATCTCTGTCGAAAGAAGCACAAAGTGATAATATGGAAAAGTTTTCTGAAATTATTGTGTTATCGCCACCTCCACTCACGACTGTGGTAACAGGTAATTACTTGTTTTAAGTTTTAACAAACAAAAAGATTATAAATAAATGAAGAATTACCTGAATACCAGAAGACCATGCTGCAGCCTCTTGAACGGCTTTTGATCCAAGAAATGCCCGGGTCACTGCATTCACAATCTTTTCAGAATCCCCACCAATCAACGGTTTAGATTCATCTTCATTAATATTAATCCGATCCAACGAGTGTGAACGGATGGATCTCAATGGAAATGGATTTTCTTTCTCTTTAGTTGAATGAATCTCAGATGCATCGATTAATGACCAAATCGCCCTGCATGCTTCACATGCAGCACCGATGAGATTTGATGAGCCAGACATGAGACTTGTGCCACAAGTAACCAAGCATGAAACCAAAGTGCATGTCTAAAACCCCTGATGTTTTGGCATGATCAAGTATCTCTTTAAGACCTTGGTTTGCTGCTGCCACATCAGCACGCTTGGTGGCTAGGGATGCTTTCAAACCTCGTGCTACTTGAGACAAAACAATTGTGATGCAAGCAGTGGATTCATACACAATTCTTCCAGAAGCATCTTCTGTGTTCTGAGAAACCTACATGTAAAATTTTCTTTCTTAACAGCTATTGTTGTAGAATAGTAACCTGCTTTACCAATTACCGATATGAAAACGTAGTTTATTATTTATAAGAGTAAAATGCATTGTTATTTTCTGCATCTTGCCTTCTCTTATAAAGAAAGTCATGGAAGTGAAATTTTTGTCATTAAATTGATAAATTCAAACTTTTACAAAGAAAGAATTTTACATATACCCTTCTTAAACATCAAAATATCGCATAATTTCTAAATAGACAAAACTGCAAATTTGGTCCCTGTGGTATTCAAAAAACTTTGGATAGGGTCCAAAAAGTTTCCAAGTTTCCGACTTGCATAGAAGGTTCAAAATCAAGAATTTTATGTGATTTTGGTTCAAAAAAAACTTAAAATGACGGTTATGCCTTCTTATTTTCTTTTTTCTTTTTTTTTATAATTATTTTAATACTATTTTGATTTAAAAGAAAAAAACAAAAAGAATTTGCTACCAACCACCCACCATTCATTCTCTCTCTCTCCAAAAGAGAACCTATTTCAAGAAGAATCTGAAACAAAAAATATCGATAATTAAACCCTAAGAAGTGCTATATAGATTTAAAGAACTCTCCGCTATTTTTCACTCGATTACCCCCTTGGAAGCAGAGAGCCAAAGCCCACATCAGCCAAGACAGAGGCGGTGGCTACATCTCCGGTAAACCATGTTCATGTTGCTGCCGGCACCAATGAGCCATCTCATATGCCTAAAGCTATCGTGCCCAGCCAGATATCACAAAACATATTCCATCTAAGATTCAGGGTAGCCAAAAAAACATATTCCAATGTCTCAAGGGTGGGACGAAACTGTAGTCGCTTCTCCATCAGCCTCATCTTTAGAGACACAATTGATGCATCCAAATCTCTTACAATTTCCCTTATTTTAGTTCCAACTCCTTAATTTTGTATTCCTATCTCTATACATCTTCATCTATTTGGTGAATTGGATGTCTCAGGAAAGAAAATTGGAATCGTATGCTTCTAAATAAATCAGAAAAGGAAGAAGGAAAACAATGCACTCCAGGTGCTCATTGAAACAGCTGAAAGAAAAGTACCTTCAGATATTTCAATATATGAAAGAAAAGTACCTTTACTGAGGTTCTGGAAATGAAATACTTCTAAAATACAAACACATATCAGAAAAGAAAAGTGAAGGAATTGGGAATGAGTTCATTGTTCAGCCAAGAAGGAATCTGGAGTGAGAGCATGTTGTAGTCATCAAAGATAGATCAGAAGAAGTTTAACCTTATTGAACATGTTGAGAGGAATACGATTGGTTTTTGAAGCTGGGAAAAAAATTGAAGAATGTGGTTTATTGGGGTCAACTTATGCGTATAATCTAGTAGCAAAATAGTAAAAAAATATGGGTTTTTTCCTTGAGAGAGAGAGAGAGAATGGTGGGGTGGTTGGTAGCAAATTCTTTTTGTTTTTTGTTTTTTGTTTTTTTTAAATCAAAATAACATTAAAATAATTATAAAAAATGAAAAAAGAAAATAAAAGGGCATAACCGTCTTTTCAAGTTTTTTTGAACCAAAATCACATAAAATTATTGATTTTGGACTTTCCATGCAAGTCGGAAACTTTTTGGACCATATACAAAGTTTTTTTGAATACCACAAGGACCAAATTTGCAGTTTTGTCTTTTAAATATCATATATACATTTTGTAAGCTTTTACAATTAATATCACATTTTTCCAAATCAAATCATTTCTTTTTAATACTTTCATACATTTAAAATGAATACAATTCTAAAAAAACAAAACTGACTATATTGCCCCTACTACTAAATAGATTGAATCCTTTTGAACCATGATTCATCTTCAATTCTGCCAGCAAACATCTACCATGCCATAGGCTATCATCGCCTCCTTCCTCAGCCCTGAATGCCGCCATCTGTATGACTTTTTGTGGATTTCTGAATTGCTTAAAACCTACGAAAAACCTTACATTCATAATAGCCTGTCTGATTACAATTACAATTGAACAATTGTCCCTATGTATTATGTAACCCAAATTTTAAACAAAGTATGAAATAGCAGGCTGCATACGCTCTTTCATTTATCAAAAACCTATTAATTGCAAATATTAGAAACCATATTAATTTATAAAATATATGAAATAGATAGTATAATAGTCAATTGTTAAAAATAAGTATTTAAAAGGATTATAAAATGTTTAAAAATAGGATTTGGCCAAATTTGATAAGTTAAAATATTAAAAAGAGTAACTATATGATATTTTGATGTTTAAGAAGGGCATATACAAAAATCTCGCTCTTTTACAAATTTGTATTTATTTGATATTCCTTCCATTTAGTTGTTATTTTTTCAAATATGGGGTCTTAAAGAGATAAATGAAAAAAAGCTAAAAACTTGTACTTTAACTAAAAATTTTATAGAGAAAAATATATAACTAACCTCTTTAAAGAGTGCAACTATGGCAACCCATGCAACTATGGCAACCCAATGTCTGATATATGAATCCCCAAAACAACCACCATAGTTATCCAATAGCTTCTTAATAGTTATCCAAAAAAAACATGTACAGCACAAACACAATTAATCTTCAAAAATCCTAGTTTCTTGAACAAATGCATACTTCTTTTTGCAATTTATAATAAACAATAAAGTACCTTTATCAACAAGTCATTGTAATCTGATTTTTTTATATGAAGAAGATTGGAAGAGAAGCCTACAAGTTCCCAAAATATTTCATCAACCACCCCTGTAGAGTTAAGAGCAGCTGCAGCAACTACGCTTGAAAAATTCTTAGGGACTTGTTTTTATTGACAACATCTTGATCCCTGAACAATTTTGTATGTCATAAAAACAACCCAAAAAACAAAGATACATGATCAAAAACATCATTTTTCAATTAAAATATATATATATATAAATTCACCTGCACACCATGCTTTTGAGAGGCAACAAAATAATTGATAGTGCTTCGTTATCTTGAGTGATTAACTTTGCACCTTCTATAGTGCGAGAGTTATTTTCTAATTTTTCCAAAATCTGACAAAAGGTTAGGAGAATTGAGGGTCTGTTTGGTTGGAATGGAATGACAAAAGAGAGAAATGGAATGCTTGAATTGAGCCATTACATTCATTATCATGTTTGGTGGGCCAGTATGAATGGAATGAATTTTCTTAGGATACATTTTATGTTTATATGTAAATACAATGTGCAGTTTTTTGCTCTAACAACATATGTTCTTTAATCATGATTAATGAACTGTTTATTTAAGGAAATAAAAAATAACTATAACAAATGCTCTCATTAAAACCAAAGTAATAAACAAAATTAAGGACTAATCACAAAAGTAACCACAAATGGGAAGTTTATAGAACAGAATGGCCACCTATTTTAAGAAACAATCAGAACTACTATAAATTTGGTCCCCACCAGAAAATCTTGAGAAAAAAAATTCAACTTTTTATTTCGTGAAAATGGCATCATTTTCATGAGGAAAAAAAACTGAAGAGCAAATTTCACAAAATAGTGGTCTTTTTGTAATACTACATTCCCATTTATTTTTATATCTGTGATTATATTTTCTAGTTATTGTTGAATATAACCTGTCATTTGTTTAAAATCATGAAAGTTAATAAAAAAATTGTGACATTAAAAGTATATAAATAAATATGGGTTATATTGCAACTTCTGATTCCATTCAATAATCACATTCCTTTAAAATGGTTTACTCCATTCCATTCAACAAAACAAACAGTTTTTAATCATTCCAATGGAATGAACCCTTCCATTCCATCATTGAACAAAATAATAAATAAATATATATATATATATATATATATATATAACTAACCGTAGCCTCAACATTTTCAAAAATTTCTGCAACAAATGGATGGTCAAGAAGACGTGGCCATGTCAACCTGTAATGAGGATCCTGCTCTCATAATTTTGACAAACAGTTAGATGTTAATAATAAATAAACTAAGAAAATAATTATAAAAACTAAAACTATCAAAAAAGTTGATAAATATACCTTATTAATCAGACCCTTAAGAAAATTTTTGAATTTTAAACTCATGATGTTTGGGTACTTCACAGGATCCTGGAAGTATATCATAAAGCTTGAATTTTGCATATCAAAAATTATATTTTCACAACTGAACTTTGGTTTAAAGAGCACATACCTCAACGATGTGGCAAATAAGTGGATAAAATGAATTTGCATTAAATGGAGGCTGGCCCACAAATAACTCATACCTGAATTTAATGTTTTGGATCAGTTTATAAATTTAGGTAAGTATTGCTTCTGAGGTATTGCTTTTTAATTTAGGGCAATTGCAAAAAATAGCAGCATACTTTATAAGCCATATACTTTATATTCTACACATAAAATCAATTTACTTATATTTCTTTAAAGATATATAGCAATGTACTTTTATCTTTTAATCTATTATAGCAGCATACTTACATTATGCTACATATTTTTATCTTCTCTTTAATTGTCAAGAAATGAGTAAATTACCTTTTTGGTCCCTGTAGTTTTTACTTTGAGTGAATTACACTTTTGGTCTAGTAGTTTTAATTATTTGCAGAAAAGGAAATGAGCAAATAAAATTTTTGGTCCCTGAAGTTTTTAATTTGAGTAAATTAATACTTTTGGTCCCTGTAGTTTCTTACTTTCTAGAAATGAGTGAATTAAACTTTTGGCTCCTATAGTTTGCAATATTCTACACTTTAGATCCAAGTTTTGAAATTTTTACAAGAACACTAATTTACATTGTTGTTAAGGGTAAAGAATTGTAAGTGTGTTACTATTATGAGTAGAGAAAATGTAAATACATTGTTATTATGTGTAAAGAAAAGGGGGAAAACTTACAAATGACCCCAAGGGACCACAAATCAGCAGTATGGTTGTAGGGTTGTTCTCTTACTAGTTATGGAGCCATGTACAAAGGAGTACCTGAAAGTAATGAATGATGCATAAATGATTATAGAAACCTTTAAAAACTCAAAAACATTGAACACTGACACCTACAGAAAATCTAATAAATATGAAAAAATAAGGATCGTTGTACCTTTAATCGAGCGTAAGACAACTGTATTTGTGGAGATTGCTCTTGCAAACCCAAAATCACAAAGTTGTTTCATATGCAAAAGAGGAATCATAAAGCTGTTTCATATCAAATGAGTGGATGACTATAATAAGTTGTTTTACCTTAACAACACCCCCAACACAAATCAAGATGTTTTGTGGCTTCAAGTCACGATGAATAATACGGTTGGAATGCAAGTAATGCAAAGCTCTGACCTGGAATTGTTTACAAGGTACAAAAAAAGGATATTAACATCAAATTGATATAATTTCAATATAGAAATGCTAATTTAGGAAATGTACCAACTGTTTTGCAATTCTCTGAACTTCTTCTTCGGGAAGGCATTTATCATCCTCTAGATTCTCAAATAAGTCACCCTGTATAGAATTGCATTAAATGAACAACAGTTAGAATCTCAAATAATTTATGAACTCCTTTGCTTTTATATGATAATTGCAAGAGAAAAGTAATAGCTAGTTACATGGGCTAATTCAGTGACAACACAAAACTCTTATGGGGTTTCAACCGAATCCATCATCTGAATAATATTTTCATGCTTTAACTTACTCAAGATCTGCAAGAAGTAGGAACCATGATTCAGCAACAAATATACAAACTATTTATATAGGAATTAAGGTAAAGATCTCAATTTCTTGTCTCAAACTCTGAATGTCCTTTTCAGTTTTACCATGCTTGAGTATAAACTTCATTGCAACAGTCTGACAAGTGAGAAAAATATTAATATAAAAAACTATTTACAATTGTCGTATCAGTAATACTACAAAGTTGTACATACCTGGCCAGTATAGTTTCTTCTTCCCTTGTATACTTTTCAAAAAGACCCTTCGCCTACAAGCTCTATCACATGATAATTCTCTACTCCCATCTATAGATCTTTGACTTCTGTTGTTAATAGTGATTATGAAATGCATAAATTAATCACCGAATAAATGCTAAACAACTGTTTGTTTCAATTCAGAAAATATTTGAAAAAGCGCATAAAAAAGAGTAAGATGAAATTAGTATGCATCAAATAAGGTAACGGAAATCAAGCATTCATGATCATAATGGAAAAGATAAAGAGAAAAACCACAACCAAACAAGGTAGACTAAAAACTAAAACGCTACAAAAAATGAAATTAGGGTTCCCCATTAGGGATGAGATTTAGAACCGGAAAACCGGACTGGAACCGGAACCGTTAGAACCGGAATATATAAAACCGGCTTCGGTTCCGATTCCAGGTTTAAAAATTGGCTTTATCCGGGTTCCGGGTAATCCGGGTTTGGGTCCATCGGGTCCGGGTAAATCGGGTCTAAAACCGGAACCGGTGTTAGGAACCGGAACCACTTTTAGGGCCAGAACCGGTTTTTCTGAAATGTTTAAAAGATGCATATCTCATTCGTTTCAACTCCGATTGACATGCGGTTTTTTCCAACATGTAGTTTAGAGTTTGTACATGATTTTAGACTATAAATTTTCCATTTTTAGTTTTATATTCATTGACTTACAGTCCCCCAAAGTCGAGATATCAAAGCTGAAAGTTTTTAGTTTTTCAGGCTTTTTGTATTATGTGAAAGTTTTAAAACATGCATATCTAATTCGTTTGAAGTCGGATTGACATGTGGTTTTTTCCAACTTGTATTTTACAGTTTGTACATGAGTTTGGACTATAATTTTGTCATTTTTGGTTTAATATCCATTGATTTATAGTCCCCCGAAGTCAGGATATCAAAACTGAAAATTTTCAACTTTTCAGCTATTTGTTTTTGTACTTTATATTCTGTGAAAATGTTAACACATGCGTATCTCGTTCGTTTAAAGTCGGATTGACATGCGGTTTTTTTCCAGAGTGTAGTTTAGAGTTTGTACATGATTTTAGACTATAATTTTGTCAATTTTGGTTTCTTATTCAATGAGTTACAGTCCCCCAAAGTCGGGATATCAATATGGAAATTTTCAAAGTTCAACCCACTAAGTAGTAAGTAGTTACCAAAAAATTCCGGTTTTTCTGGGTTTTCCGGTTCTAAACCCACTTTATCCTGTTCCAACCTACCCACTTTGATGTTTCCGGTTCTAGAACCACTTTACCCGGAACCGAACCGGAACCGGTTCCTATATACCGGTCCGGTTTCCGGTTCTACAAAATCCCGTTAACCGGTTCCGAGTTTTCCGGGTCCGGGTCCATCCGGTCCGGGTTTAGACCAACTTTCATCCTTATTCCCCATCAAGCTTTTGGGACTCACCTAATCGTTGCTGGTAGTGGTGAAGGGATGAACATGAGGAACTAAGAGAAGCCTCTCTCTTATTGTTATTTTGGGATTAGGGTTTCAAATTTTCGGGACAGCGGCAGAATTATTCAAAGCTGGAAGAGGCAAAAAAAACCGTACCACAATGAACCAAGAAGTTGAAGTTGAAGTTGAAGCTGAAGTCGAAGGAGAAGTGAGATCAGACGAAGCTTCTCAAATGGCGATGATAACTTTTTCTATAAGACGAATAATGACATCGGTGAGATTTCCTGCTCGTTAGGTAGCCTTCTATTCGAATAAACCTTCCGAATGTGAACCTAATGTTGTTGAACAATGAATGTGAATATGAACATTATTGGTTATTTAAGACATGAAAGGTTGAATTACCTTATGTTGTTGCTTACCTCGAATTCGTCGAACTGGAACAAACTGTAGTTAGTTGGCGATCACGGGAATTTAGATGGTTTATGTGAAGAAGGGCAAAAGGCGGGAGAAAACATATTAGGAAGGAAATAAAGTTCATTAATGCAATTATATAGAATATAAAACAGAGTTTGTTTTTATCAAAATGATGTTTTTGAAAATTTTATTTTTTAAATATATGTAGTTTTAAAAATATTTTCTAACTACCGGGAGACAATCAAAGATGATGTTATGCAATTCGCTCTTCACTTTGACAAGTTTGGGACCCTTGCAAGAGGTTGTAATTCGACTTTCATATCACTGATCCTTAAGGTCAAATACCTCATCTTCCTTACAGATTAACGCCCCCATCAGCCTTATGGGATGCATGTTTAAAATCACTTCAAAAATCCTTGCTATCCGAATTAAATCAGTCATTGGTGATCTTATTGGGGATGTACAGTGTAACATCCCAAAATTCAAGGCCAAAAATTTCATTTTTAGATAAGTTATTATAAAACCAACAGTATAAGAAAACATCCATAATATCATGTCATGTCAAAACCAAAATAGAAATAATCAAAACATGTTATCATAAAACAATATCAGAGTGTAATCCCAAAGATCTCATGTGTGGAAAACCATAGTGTGATGCGCTGCGATCAAGCCGGCTCCTTTGCTTTGAAAACGAGTACCTGAACCAAAACTGTAAACCGTAAGCAAGAAGCTTAGTGAGTTCCCCCATCATACCACATACCATACAATCACGTAGCATACATACTGTCGGGCAATTCTGGGGTGCCCGACATACCCGGTCCGGCCATTCTGGATACCATACAATCACGTAGCAGACATACTGTCGGGCAATTCTGGGGTGCCCGACATACCCGGTCCGGCCATTCTGGGGTGCCGACCTACCCTATCAAGCAGTTATGGGGTGCTGACCTAGCCATGTCAAGCCATTCTAGGGTGCTGACCTACCCTTCGGTCCTAACAACCGAACTCAGGGACTATTTCACCCCCTACTACTACTATCACACATATCATAACATAATCATACTGTCAGGCATATCTGGGGTGCCC